CTCACATAATTGAGAATGTGACCAAAACTTAGGGCCTTAGTGCCACTCTCAGTTACCATCACTTTGGTTTCTGGTCTCAGCATGTTATTCATAGGTTATGGTGTCCTCGTAGTCACACATTTCTTTCACCTTTTCCATTCCAGTTGAAGAGAGAATATTTGGTGTTCTAGAGATGGCTGCATGCAAACATTTACAACTTTTGAGAGAATACACCACACCAGGGAGACTGTTATGGCTACTGGGAGGATAATACCAAGAGTTTGGAGTATGGGCCCTTACCCAGGGCCCCCATAAACCAAACGACATAAAATTAAATGGATTAAAGAATGACCTAGCTGAAGAGTCTACTCATGTGACCAAGTGGATTTTTCATTAATCCCCTGAAACTGAATTTTTATAATCTAAATTTGATGTGTTTCTCCATAGGCCACGAGTGTCAGCAGCTGCGCAGGCACTTTTCTGTTTAGCCAGTTCTATTATTTAGCATAACTTTCAGGAGAGAATTTAAAGTCTGTTGTGTAATGATAGCCTTTAAAGTAGAATTTGCTGTAGAGCCTATTATGAGGGAGACATTTCTAATTACTGTTTCTTTTATTCTAAGTCACAGAAAAAGAAACTAACAAATGATGTCCTTCTAGAAGAGTGAAGGCCTCCTGGCAATGTTCTCTTTAATCCATGATGTGTGTTAAAAGGAGTTTTGACTGATTATGAAGCAATGTATGAACCACTAAACTTTCTCACCTACATTGGGCCTTCATCTTCTATCTGTTAAAGTACAAGTTTATTCACATATAAGGCTGGCTGCAAAACCATTCACAAATAAAAGTATACCCTGTAAGTTTACATAATAGACCTCTTTTTCATTTCTATTGTTCATAGAGGCATAAACACAGAAAAAGTATTCAAAGACAAGAGTCTCGTGATTGTAGAAGTCTTGATCCGTGATCTTGGGAAAAGCTGTTCACATCAGGGATGCCATCTTCTTCTGGGGAGAAAGTTTCCTGGTTGGTTTTACCTTAAGGGTTCCAATGGATATATAGTTCCAGGAGTGTGGCGGAACCCTTCTCAGTTGTGAGATTATGAACCCAAGGTTCAAGGCTCCAGTTTTGCTGTAGTGTGGATGTCAAGGATTGTCTTTCTCTGATAGTCTCAGAATATCCCATCTTCAGTTCTAGATTGTGAAGGGATTGTCCTCAGTGAACCATAAAAAGCTTTCTTTACCTGGTGAAAATACACTGTAGCATAATAATCTACTGTTGTAACATCAGCCCTCTTGCATGGGAAGGCTTTTATACAACGAGAAAACATGCATTGAAAATGACAGTTGAATGAAATCCCTTTATAAATGTTTATATGGCCCATCAAGTAGCCAAATGTACCTGAAGCTTTGATTGTCTTCCCAGGAATATGGAACCAAACATTGGTTTTAAGCTATTTCTGCAATTTACAAGTCATCACATCAATATATTCAATTTGGGTTATTTTATCTCTTCCATGATGAGTCATGGAATGCAGAGCCTTTAATAACAAAAGCTTTAAGGACTCAGGAAGGACAAGGCAGCTGTCCTGTTTGAGGCCTTCATGAGTCCATGCTTAACAGTGGACTTATGTCCTCTTGAATACCAGTTGTTTCTCCAATTTGGGTACATAGCACTGATAACTAATGGGTTATCATAGGTAATTTGACTTAGACCATGGAGTTCATTCAAATTGTATATTTAAACAATTTTAGTATTGACTGATTTAGCATGATAGTCTAGAGCTTGATTTTGAAAGGTTTGTTAAATACCACAGGTTTAAAACGTTGGCTATTATAAAATAGAATCTTAGGTTACCATAAGTCATTCATTTAGCCAAAAAGATAACTGAAAACTTTTTTCAAAGGAAAAGCATCATTCTGATAGAGAAGAGACTCAGCTTCCCAAACAAGACCCAATGAAGATTGCATGGGGTAACTGATTCTCTCTTCTTTCCTTCCCTTCCCTGCTTTGTCCTTTGTAGTTTACTTAAAAGGTAAACAAAAAACTTTCATCTTTTAATATTACACAAAAATCCTTTTTAAAAGAGAAAATCCAAATTTTATGTTTTCATTAGTGTATTTTTAATGTTAAAGCTAGTTTTTAATAACATCTATTCAGTTTTAACTAATTTGACCATAAAGTAAGATTTTTGTAAGCCTTTTATAACACTTTACAATTTTTTTTTTTTCTCAGAGCAGAACAATGTTCTAAGAAAATTCTATTGTGTTTTTATTCCAATGTCCAATTTATGGAGAAAACTGAAAAATGCCATTTTAACTTTAGCCAATTTGTTCACACATAGAATCTCTTACAATCAATTTTTCATAAACTTTCCACAACTTGTTCAAACCTTTAGCTTTATTTAATTTAAAATAATCCTTTAACCTTCTAACCTAGGCAAAAATTTACATTCTCATACCTTCATATAATCTCTTACAAAAAACACATTTCATTCTCCTTACACACCCTGAATCTAAACCTATTTTTTCAGCAGTCTCAATTACATATTACAATGTTAACTCTTAGCAACTTTTACTTTTGGTGAAAACCTTGGTGAGTAAGGGATTTCAATGACGTAGTAGGTGTGGAGCCTAGGACCCAGACAGAAATGCAGATAAGGCCTGACTCTTTCCAACATCTAACTCCATGTGTCTCAGGCCTTACCAAGCTGTAAAACATGCAAGGCAAGCTGTCCAGTTAAGAGTCATAGTGGCATTTTATGAAGCATTTAGGAGGCCTAATCAGCTTTAAATTGTACGACGTTTCTGGCATAAATTCTTTCATGACTTATGCAGACCATGTACAACATATTTAGACTTTCTGACGTGCCCTAAACATTTCTGGCATAAATGCTTTTTCATAAATTCTTTCATGACTTACACAGACCATGTACAACATATTTAGACTTTCTGACTTGCCCTAAATATCCCTCTTTTTAAACAACCAGTCATTTTACTTCAGGACAAGAATTTACCATACGACATCCTTTCTTATATAAAATCTCTTTTCTTTATAACCTTCTTTGCATAGCTAAGGGGCATGGTTAATTCCATAAATCCCCAGGCCTTATTTAGAATATAACATCTCCAAAATAAATTGAACAATTTTCAAAAGTCAAAGTAGCTTATGACCTTAAAGCATTTAGCAAACCTAATATCCAACCTGCATAGTTTAGACAAAATGTCTTTATTTTATTTATTTATTTGTTTATTTATTTATTTTTGAGATGGAGTCTCTCTCTGTCGCCCAGGCTAGAGTGCAGAGGCATGATCTCGGCTCATTGCAAACTCCGTCTCCTGGGTTCACACCATTCTCCCTCCTCAGCCTTCCAAGTAGCTGGGACTACAGGCGCCTGCCACTATGCCTGGCTAATTTTTTGTATTTTTAGTAGAGATGGGGTTTCACCGTGTTAGCCAGGATGGTCTCCATCTCCTGACCTTGTGATCTACCCGCCTCGGCCTCCCAAAGTGCTGGGAGTACAGGCATGAGCCACTGCGCCAGGGCAAAATGTCTTTATTTTATCAATAATCTTTAAAGCTGTTTTTATTTCCCAAAGATTACTAAAATCACATGAACTAAAAGGCATTACAGTTTTTATTTTGCTTTCAAAATATTTGATTTAAGTGCTTGTTTTTGCTTAAGCCAATTAATTAGAGCTCTTTTATATAAACATTACACATAACACATGTATAATTACACAGACAGACAGAGAGAAGATTACTACAGTAGTTGTAAGATTTTTCATTTGCCAGTTTTTAAGTTTCTTAATTGCTTACTGGCTTTACGGTGGAGTCCTTGGAAGAACAGGGCCATGAAAGGGGTCTCTGGTGCCTCCTGTTTTTCCCAAGGAGCCCAGGCTTTTAGAGCTTAATCCACTTTTAAGTAAGCCGACTTTTAACCACAGTATTCTTTAATAAAGTCTTTTAAAATTTCTTATTACCTTATTTTAGCCAGGCCAAATGGCTGATATTTCTGGCTTTTGAACTTTACCAAAAGTAACCTCCCAGGTGCTCAGAGAAAGGAAAATTTAAGATAGCCCATGGAGGAGCAGAGACTATACAAGGTCATGTAGATATTTAACCAGAAAGAACTTACTTTCTAAGTAGGGAATCGAATCTGACTGCCAGTGTGAAAGGGCACTACCTTAGCTACCAAGCTACAGCACAGGGCACATCACAATAGCTTAGCACACTGTAACGTATATCTGGTTGAAGGGAGTCACAGACTTGTTATGAAATTGATGTAGAGGGCTGGGACTGTCTGTATTTGAGGTAGAGTTAGAAAATGTGGGTCCAAATGACAAATAAGAGATTGAAATAAAAGGAGGAAATAATCGATTCTGGATTTGAAAATACTGATTGATTTGTCACATGATGGGTATGTGTGTGTGTTTGTAAAGAAAGGAACTTTTATCTGAGGAATGTGAGTCCTTTTAAGTTATCAGGCCTAGAGAGACATTAAAATGAGACAGCAAACATGGCCCTACTTCCTCCTTGAGCTACATATTCATCTCTTGAAGCTGCTTGCTATTGCCACATGTAGCTAGACATTAACCAAATAATGCCACATTTGACACTATAACCCACCCCTTATAGCTTAACAATGTATAGCCAATCACTAATCATTTCTGTAAACCAATGAGAATTCCTGATAACAACTTTGTATTAGCCCACTCCTTGTCCCCTTTTTTGACTTAAAAAACCCATTTGTAACTGCTGCTAATTACAGTTTATGTTTAGGGTGACTTGCCTCTGTGTTCCCAGGTTGCGATCCTCAAGCTTGACCCAAATGAATTTTCTATTTATATTAATTTTGCCTCAACTTCTTCATTTTAGGTCGATGTGTATGTGTGTTTGTGTATAGAACATGTTCCAAAAGGCTTTGAACAATTTAAGCGTCACTAACTTCAGAAAAATGAGTGTTATAAATTCACTCCCAAGAACCTTGAAGTTTTAATTATATACATTTATTTTATACTTGTTTTAGTTTTGTAGATGTTAAATAATGAATTATTAGTTAAACAATGTTCCAGAGAGTTAAAAAACCAATGACTGACAAAAATCATCAGTTTACAGGATAGCAGATTAAACAACAACAGCTTGCTAAAACGCCAAAATTGTCTCTGCTTGTGAGATTAAAAAACTGGCTAAAATGGATTAAAACTAATAAGGCCAACTGGAGTTGGCACAGAACAAGCTTGCTGAAGTCACAGATCAAATTTCTACCATGTTTCAAACTAACTCCCCCAAAATGTGCACATGTGATCCATGAGGTAGCGTTAAACAAAACTGTGCATGCCTGAGGATGTCCCAGACCTATTTCCTGCCATCGATCACCTACTAATCCCAGAGGCCACCCACTAGACCTTTTCTAATAAAATGACTGCATGAAAGCCAGCACACAGGACAGATTTGAGCTGGACTCCTAGCTCCTTGTTGGTTAATTTACAATAAAAATCTTTTCTCAAAAACCCAAATTGGGCAGTGAGCTTCTTTTCCTTGATGACATTAGTTTTAATCATTTGAGACAGTCCCTCTGATTGGAAATAGTAAAGGTGGACTTCGAAACAAAATATGTAATGTTCAACATTCACAAAATGAAATAAGTATAAAGGATATGTAAGTTTCATATCTGGGTTAATGTAAGGCAAAAACATTCTGTAGATAATATGGATTTGAGGACATATGTGATCCTGAGAGTAGCAAAGCCTGGGTACAACAAATATTCCAGGCAGTGTTTCAGGCTTTCAAGGCAGTGTAGTTGGTGGGATCCAAGTTAAGGGCTCCAAACAGTAAAGGGGGACTCAGATAATACCTGGTTTACTGTTAGAACCAATGGAAAATTCCACTAAGGTAAGTATATGACATGAAGAAAGGATGGAGTTGGGAAATGGAGTGGCAGGGTAGGACAGAGGGACCTAGAGGGCCCAGGAGGGGTGGAGTCAGCTAGGCTGGTAAAAGGCAGGGCTGTGGACACACCTTTCTCTTGTTGCTACCCCCACCCTCAGAAACCCTCTGTGACTCTTCCATGCTCTGTGATGCAGGCCTGGGCCTATCGTTGAGACTGGGCACCCACAACACTCAGTTACCTTCAGAAGTCATGCTATTCAAAGCATGGAGAATATCCTCTGTTTTCTAAACAGCTATACTGACACAGGGCTGAGCCCTGACTCACCTTGCTTGGATGGATATTGACCACAACTGCATCTACTTGAGTGGGTTGGGGTTGTTTATGCTGTACTTTTTCTATGTGGTATCGATGCTGTGTTTGTCAACCCGTGGGAAAAATCATGACATCCAAAAGGTAAGGGACTGTGGGTGAACACCCAAGAGAGATGCCCTGTTGTTGTTTCCCAATCCTATTCCCACATTTTTAAATAAGTTTGGTTGGTTCAGAGAGGTCTTAGATGGGAAGTCTGAAGAGAGAATAGAGCTTCACTCTTCTATGGAAGAGGTTGGGCAGACTTAGGGGTTCAGGAGGACTAAGGTTTCCATCTATAGCTCATAGACTACCTGTCTGGCTGTGGTGGAGAGTTCCAGGATAAAATCCCAAACACAGTAATTCTGTGGTCCCAGATGGGATTATTTAGAAAATGTGGGCTCTCTGAAGGAGAACAGTCTCTGTTGAAATTTGATCATGAGTCACATTCCCATGTCACCTGTCACTTGACCAAATTTTCCTTCGTGTTGGGCTGATCAGGGGAGTAATGCTGAGAGTCTCTGAGCAGAGGCTGCAGCCAGAGTTCTGTCTGCGGGACACTTGTCCTGTGAGGCAGCACAGATGTGACTGTTGGCCTCTGAGTCTGTGCCCTCCTTGAGGACTGCTAACTGAGCACATCAAGTGTGGCTCTCATAGACAAAATCCTCTTGAGTTTTTCACAGAAGGAAAAATTAGAAGTATTTTATCACCTTCAAAAATTGATAATAGGAACACTTTTCTATTAATTACAGAGTCATGTTATTCTTGTATAATGAATGAACGTGCTTCCTAGAGGAGTGAGAGAAGTGAGTCCCAGTCTGTCATTATCTTTCTCTTTTCTCAGCATCAAGGAGAGCCAGGAGGAGAAGGAAAGGTGGGACATTTAAAGGTAACGCCAGCCTGCTCTATCTGAGCTTCAAGGGTGACCCTTCCTGTCTCCTTCATGATGAGTCAGTCCCATGATTTCTTAGAATGTCAGTTACTAGATACAGTCTTAGAAAACAGAGCCCTCAGAAGACAGGCTGATGGGAAAGCAATCAGACCTGAGACAATGCTCACAGGCCCTGCTCTGCCCCTTCATGGGCATGATGGAGTGATGGACCTGAGTAATGGGTGTTGCCCAATAGGTGGCCAAGTTAGATATCGAGGAAGGACTACTGGTTGGCTTGGAGTCAGAGTTTCTGTCTCACAACTTTGCATAAGTACTTTGACTTCCTTAATGCTCGAATTCCTCCTGGAGGTAACCACTGATGTCTGTGTTTCACATGGTGGTTTTGAGCATCACATGGGGTAATGTATATGAAAGGACTTTACTAATGATGCCCACTGAACCTGTGAATATTATCAATGACTATTTGCCCTTTTGTACTGACTCTTGGGGCTATCAGAGTTTAAAATCCCAAGGGTCTTCCACAGAGTGACTTCTGTATGAGCCCTGTGCCTCTACCTTCATTGCATATAACACTGTTTTCCCAGACCGGAAAAGTTTCCAGAGGGAAGCAGAAGAGGAAAGGAAGCTGCTTTCTATTCTGAAAAGGTGATTAATCGTTCCCCTTCTGTCCTGTTCCCCCACCCTCCTTGTTTTTCTTTTTGCATGTTCTATTCACTTCAGGGATTCCTTGTAGCCTGCTGTAGCTGTGCAAGTGGGTCCCCACAGGAATGGGTATGTGAATTGAATACATTGGGGAGAGGCTACAGAATACATAGCGAGGTCATGGGCGGGGGGCAATGTGAAGCTGGTAGCAGGATTCAGGGGGCTCCACCCCTGCCAGGCTAACAGACCCTCCTTTCCTTGTTCTGGTTCTGGCTGCAGCTTTGGACCTCCTGCTTCCTGCAGTCCCCTGGACCAGCATCATGATACCATCCGCTTTCGTCGACTATTATGCCCAGATCCTGTCTGTCAGGTGTGTAACAGAGCAACTGCTGATATCCAGCGACTGCTGTCTCGGGAGTCCCTGAAAGATGCTGCTCCCTCGGTATCCCCTTTGGCTTCTGCAGCTTCTGTGACTGAGTCGTCGTTCACTCTGTCTTCTGCCCCTCAGCAATTCCTCCAGAAGACCTAATATTGTCTCCTTGGCCTAAGCCCTCTCTATCATCCTCCTTAATTCTCTCACATGACCCGATCACCCCCTTAGCTGACTTATTTTCACCCTCACCTCTGAGGCACCCTCTGCCACCACAGCCTGTTTCTCCCCTGGATTCCAAGTTTCTCTTGGACCATTCCCCACCCCTACAGCTTCCCTCTCCCCTTCTCCCACCACATCACATTCAGCGAGTGGAGCCCAATCTTCATCCTGAGGCCAGTTTGTCTCTGAACACCATCTTTTCATTTGGCTCCACCCTATCCCAAGATATGAACCCCTTACCAAATGTTTCCCAGGCCATGAATCCAACTGATTAATGTGCTTGTCATCATGAACCACCAACCCCAACTGCTTTACCACTGCAGGACTGCACTGCAACTCAGTCTAAAGCAAGTCCCACAATATTGAAGCCTTTTCCAGAGACGTTATCTCTAGGTAGCTCTGGTGGGACAGAATATGCCCCAACAATCAGAGGCATTGACCATTCATGCCCTGCATCTTCAGAATTCTACTGGTGGCAGCCTCATGGAAGGACTTGTTTCCCTCCACTATTGCACCATCTGATTTCGTACAAGAGCTTCTTACCCTTCACTATTCTGATGCCACTATGGGGGGCACTCTGTGGCCAACCTCATACAGCCTATTAACCTATCATTTCTCAGCCATGACATTCTGGAACTCCTGGAGAGACAAGTCAAAAAAAGGGGTGATTTCCTGATGTGGAAAGAAAATGAAAACAAAGCAGTATCTTTTCCAAAACCCTGTAGACCGAACTGTCAACTAAATTCTTCACGGAAAATGTTAGCCTCAATTGCAGATAAGCAAGACTTGGCAGCCTCACTTCCTTTTTGGGCCAGTAAAGACAAACTAGAACAGCTGCACATCCACCAGCAGCCCCCATGTTCTAAGTGCATTGAGGACCATTTAGAGCAAAAATATGTGCAGCTCTTCTGGGGTCTCCCACTTCTGCACAGTGAGTCTCTGCACCCTACTGTTCTTGTCCAACATGGCCGTTCCTCCATGTTTGTATTCTTCAATGGCATTACAAATACATCTATATCCCAAGAATCTCCAGTACTTCCCCCTCCCCAACCTCTATCCTTGCCTAGTACCCAACTTCTACCCTTGCCTCAAACCCTGCTCTGGGGTCAGTCCCCACATCACACTCAGGTCCAGTCCAGGGCTCAACATCAATCTCCACTCCCGGCCCTACTACCTAGTCCTCTATTCCTGATTAGGATCTGTGGAGTATGTTTTCATAGGCCCCAGAATGAGGCACAGTCTCTTATGCCATCTGAAATTAGCCATCTGGAGTGGAATGTGTTGCAGAAAGTCCAGGAAGGTGTGTGGGGTTTACCCTCTTTGGTTAAAAAATCCCAGGAAGACATTTGTCCTCCAGCTCCCAGTCTTGCATTGTTCAGCCAGCCCTTTAAGGCCCATGTTCCCATATCCATTATTCCTGGATATTTTCCATTCAGCTGTGAGCTAAGGAAGAAACCAGAGCACCAACTTCGAAAAAGACTCATCCAGAGCAATTGGGGCCTGCCTCGCATAATCCATGAGTCTCTGTCAATGCTGCATCCTCAGAAAAAAATTTTGGAGATATCTGAGTTAGAGAACAATCATGGACCCTTACATAGCTCTTTGGTTGAGAGTCAGGGCTGCAATGTTCTAAAGAAATTCGGATCAAGCATCCCTAGAACCTTCCACGAGAGAAGCTCAAATATGCTTTCCCTGGAGAATGTGGGGGAATTATCGGGGATACAGACAGGAGAATGGCCCAAAAGATCATCTGTTGCATGATCCAGAGACATCTTCAGATGAGGATCTGAGGTCTAACTCTGAGAGAGACCTGGACACTCATATGATGCATCTGTCAGGGAATCATTCAGGGGAGAGCCTAGGTCAGAAACAACTTGAAAATGCCCTGACAGTACATTTGAGCAAGAAATTTGAGGAAATCAATGAGGGTCGAATGCCTGGGACTGTGCATAGTTCATGGCATTCAGTCAAGCAGACAATGTCTCTTGCTGAGGAATCCCACAGTCAAATAAAACATCAAAATTTGGCAGCATTGCTGGGTGAGGACCACCGTGTTGATACTTCTCAGGAGATTTTATTCCTTAGTTCCAACAATCAAAAGATGTTGGAAGCCCATATTAAATCTTTCCATATGAGGATTCTGTGGGGCCTTCCCCGCAAAGTCCATGAATCCATAGAAATATTTAACTTTGAAAGAGGACCTTTCCAATTCCTTTTCCCATTTCGACCTTCCCTCCTCAGTCTCCTCCATTTCTGGTGTAGATTCCAAAAATGGGGTCTCCAATCCCCCTTAGAAGAAGGTTTTCAAGGAGAAAAGTTGGGAACAACAAGCTCAGTTCCAGTCCTGGATTGTCATCACCCTGTCACCTCACCTGTCAGCAAAGAAAGCAGAGGACCCTGAGAGGACAATTTTCTGATACTGACCATGACCTTACGGAGACAGATTCCAAAGATGGGGCCTCCACACCCCTTAGAAAAGCACTACAGATTTTCAGGGAGAAAAGTTAGAAATAAGAAGCTCATTCCCCATCCTGGGTCATCCTCACTGCATCATCTCACCTGTCGACAAAGAAAGGCAGGGAGCCCTGAGAAGAGAATTCTCTGATACTGACCATGAGCTTACAGAAAGTCCAGCCAGTTGAGGATGGCAGACAGACTTTTCTGCCCCCAACACACAGCATCATAGGCAAAATCAGTCAGAAACAGACTGTACTAGCCAGTACCTGCAGCCAAAAGCTGACGATAAGGCAAGCTAGGGCTCGCTGTAAGTGAAGGCTTAAGAGAGAGAGTTCCAGTAATAATGTAGAAAGGCTTCAGGGCAGTAGAAGGACATTTTCTGTCACCAATGGGTCTAAAGAAATGTTCAAGGCAGAGGAGCTCTGTGCTCTTCAAACACCATCTAAAACTACTTGATAACCAGCAAGTCAGGAAGCTGCTCAGTGATAAATACATAAATAAGCACTTCTACAACTGAAAGTTTCCCACCAAGAATATCAGTTTCCCGAGATCCTATGTCATCATACCTTAAAATCAGATGTTGAGTGAGTTAAAGTTTAAATTGGCCCAGAGGGAGCATAGCCAAGTTCAAAGCCGTTTCACTGACATGTCCCTTGCATTAGATAACTTGGTTTCCAAGGACTTACTGACTCATGCTCAGGGCATCTACAGTGAGAACATGTCAACTTTCCAGGTGGTGCATGTCCACTTGGAGGACACAGGGATATGTGAGGAACAGTAGCAGGAGCCCATGGTCCCTAAGCATGTCTTACAGAATGTCCAGATAAGAATTTCCCATGCGTGGCTGGGCGCAGTGACTCATGCCTGTAATTCCAGCATTTTGAGAGGCTGAAGCGTGTGAATCACGAGGTCAGGAGTTTGAGACCGGCCTGGCCAGCATGGTGAAACCCCCTCTGTACTAAAAATACGAAAAAAATTAGCCAGGCATGGTGGCGCATGCCTGTAGTCCCAGCTACTCCAGAAGCTGAGGCAGGAGAATTGCTTGAACCCAGCAGGTGGAGGTTTCGGTGAGCTGAGATCACGCCACTGCACTCCAGCCTGGGTGACACAGTGAGACTCTGCCTCAAAAAAAAAAAAAAAAAAAAAGAATTTCCCACAAACACTACAAAGACAGTGATCCTGCCAAGACCCAAAGGAAGAGAGCTTGGTGGACAGGATGCTGGACTGGGGACATCCCAACCGAGGAGAAAGGGCCATCCTGTTCAAAGCAAGACATCAGAGCAGGTGCTTGGGAGCAAATCTTCCCCAACCTTGAAAACACAGCCTCCTCCTGAAAACCTTTTCAGAAAATGGATGAAGACCTTTTTGCAGCAGTTTAATAATGCCAACATAACAGATGAAGAACAAGAAAGTTCCTGGGAAAAGGGTACCTCCCTGTCATCATCTGTGCAGAATAGAGGTCAAATTAAAAGTAGAGCTGCCTTTACTGGGACTACTGAAGCTCAGAAAATTAGGAAAGACACTGGGAAGTTCCTAGAGGAGAAGCTGGGGCATAGGCATGGGATAGATATCACCTGTCCCCAAGAGCCCCTTGTCTTTCCAGTGGAGCTTGGGAAAGCTCAGCACAACCTAGAAGTGCAGGTCAGAGCAGCGCCTGTACAGGGCTATCCCTGTAACTACATGGCTCCCTCCTGCAAACTGACATGTACAAAATCGTCCAGCCAACAAGCTATCTTTGTTGGCCAGAATTATCCTACAATGATTAGACAGATCATAGACAAGGACAGACAGCCCCAGAAAGTTGAGGCATTTAAGGGGAAGATATTGTGTCAAAGGCATCCCCAATCCATGCCCCACAGGAAGCCTATGCCACATCCAAACCCCACTTGCCAGTATCATGTCAACCTGGTGTGTCCAGTCATTCCGACCAGTGCTAAAAGCACTGTGTTCAGTGATGTGCCTTTACTAACTGGACAGAAAATGCTTCCAAAGCATTTCCAGGGAGGAAAATTTCCCCCCACAATAATTCACTTCTTGTTGAGAATCTTGATTCTCCCCAATAAATATTCTAATAAGAATAATATTTTCTCTGTGTATTGTGTTGGGGGGTATAGGTTTTGGGTAACATAAGCTTGTGGTTAGGGAAAGGTAGGAGTTAGCTCAGCTCTTGCTGACAGCCTCCTTTGACTTCTTTTTTTTATTTATTTATTTTTTGAGACGGAGTCTTGCTTGTCCACCAGGCTAGAGTGCAGTGGCACAATCTCCGCTCATTGCAAGCTCCGCCTCCTTCATGTCATTCTTCTGCCTCAGCCTCCTGAGTAGCTGGGACTACAGGCGCCCGCCACCACGCCCGGCTAATTTTTTGTATTTTTAGTAGAGACGGGGTTTCATCATGCTAGCCAGGATGGTCTCAATACCCTGACCTCGTGATCTGCCCGCCTCGGCCTCCCAAAGTGCTGGGATTACAGGTGTGAGTCACTGCACCCGGCCTCCTTTGACTTCTAAAAGGTGACCAATCCCTTGGAGCTCTTGTGGAGGAATAAGTATCATGTGCCTCCAAAAGCCCCTTCTCTCCCTGATGAAGTCTGAGGAGATGAGCTCTTTTCTACCTCTTTGCTTGAGACTTACTGATACTGTATGGCAGCCTGCACCTTCCTCCCTATTCACTGCTTCATCTCTTTTAGAGCAATAAGGAAGACAGGCCTTCCATATCTGAAGAGAGGGTCAAGGACAGGTAAAATTTTCAGAAATAGTGGTTTAATCACGATTTTTAAAAAGTTGTCATACAAGTTGGTGGGAGTGTTTGGGGTATTGCTGGTTGGGGTAGGGTATCAGGAACACTGTGAATGCTGCTTAAGAATTTGACAAGCAGGGCATCCTCATGATTTGGGGAAGCATATTTTGACCTCGATATTGAGATCTTTTTACTAAAAAGTCACTTTTGGGAAGTAGTTCCCCTCACTGTGTATATCTCCTGGCTGCCTGGATTGATGACATTTTTAATGGGCAAAAAGATCACCTAGGTGTCTGTGGCAGGAATGTTGATCGGGCAACCACCTAGGTAAAGTATAGCTGAGAGTAAGGAAAAGATGCTTTAGAATGAATGAGAAAGTAAGAAAAAAAAACTAGGAAAGGATGAGGCTGCTGGTGCAAAAAGGTTTATGCCCTTCATGCCCATATCATGACCCTTTCTCAATCTGGACCTAGGCACCACCCCCTTGAGGATTACCATGGTGCTGCAGGGCTCACAGATGCCATTTTGGAAGAAGTGTGCATGGGGCTGTTCATTATGGACTAAAACATTATCTTTTTTCTTTTTTTTTTTTTTGAGTCGGAGTCTCGCTCTATCACCCAGGCTGGAGTGCAGTGATGCAATCTCGGCTCACTGCAAGCTCCGCCTCTGGGTTCACACCATTCTCCTGCCTCAGCCTCCCGAGTAGATGGAACTACAGGCACCCGCCACCACACCCGGTTAATTTTTTTGTATTTTTAGTAGAGACAGGGTTTCACCGTGTTAGCCAGGATGGTCTGGATCTCCTGACCTCGTGATCTGCCTGCCTCGACCTCCCAAAGTCCTGGGGTACAGGCGTGAGCCACCGTGCTTGGCCAAAAATGAGATTTGTTTTCTAGAGGGCACTTGAGTAGGTTTTCCAGAAAAATTTATGAATGCTTAGTGTCAAAACATAAGCAAAACAAAACAAATCAAAACGGATGTCCACTACAGTTCCCTCACTCAACCATCCTTCTCTGTACCTGTCCATGCTTATGCCGCTGACCCTGAAGTGTCTGAAGCTTGGGATTGCAGAAATAATTCAGACTTCAAGAAGACTTTAAGAAGGACAAAATTGGGATGAAACCAAGGGCAAAGAACTTGTGGAGGTGGAGAATTAGTCACCTGTGGATGCTGGGGGGATTCTCCATGTTCTTCTCTGTAAGCCTATCCTCTAAGTCTTGCAAGGCTGGAAGCTATGCTAATTGTTTTAAAATGGCTGAAGGGGGCCCAGTATTTGGTTTGATTTGGTTCTAAAATGAAGGTCAAGAGCCTTGAAATGAAAGGACAGAGTTGGAGTCTGCTCCTCTACTCACCATGTCGATGAAGGTTGTACCTTGGTATCAGACATGAGCCCCCAGTTTGAAGGGGCTACATTATCTGGGGTATATGACCTGGCGTTCATCATCCTGTGCCAGGAAAATTTAGAACACAGACACACATGGGGAGTTTAGGAGCAGAGGTTTAATAGGCAGAAGATAAGAGAAAGAGAAACAGTTCTCTCTATAGACCAAGAAGAGTCTCCAAGTGGAAAAGACTGGCTGGCAGCGAATGCACCAAATTTTATAGTCAGGTTTGAGGAGGCAGTGTCTGATTTCCACAGGGCTCACAGATTGGTTCAATCAGGTATGATGTTTACATAGTGTACGAGCAAGGCTGGTTGCCCCAACCTAATCTTACTACGCAAATGGGCTTTCCAGTTGATCGGTGCCGTCTTCTCTACTCCTTATTGTACATGTGGCTGACAGAGAAAAGAAGATGGAGCCACCATCTTGAACATGTCTAGTCCCCTAGTTCCTGCCAGCATTCATCTGTGCAAGTTCCAAGCTTGCTTGTCTATGTCTGTAGCTTGAATTTATAGGCTGCTCTTTGTTAGAAAATGATTTGGGGCTGCTTCTCTTTAAAAAGAAAAGATTTACTGAGGACTCCCATACCCTTATTATTTGCCTAGGTAATTTCTTCTTAACTCCTGTATCAGCAACATTATAGCCCCAAAGTGAAAACAATTCAAATGTTCACCAACTAAATCAATGGATAAACAAAATGTGATGTATCCATACAATGGGGTGTCATTTGTCCATAGAAAGAAAAATGAAGTATTAATACATGCTACAACATGAATGGACCTTGAAAATATCACGGTAAGAAGCCAGACACAAAAATCCACATATTGTATGATTCCATTTAGATGAAATGTCTAGAAATGAAAAATAGATAGAGACAGAGAGTAGATTACTGGTAACATAGGGAGGAATGCAAATATTGAAGAGTGAAGGCTAAGTGAAGCAGTTTATTTCTGGGGTGATGAAAATGTTCTAAAATTGATTGTGGTGATGCATGCACAACACGTGAATATGCTCAAAGCTGTTGAGTAGTATACTTTCGGTGAGTGAATTATATAGTAAACAAATTATGTTTCAATAAAAACTTTTTTAAAAAGAAAGTTTGTATAGCAGCTTTATTCATAATTGTCCAAATTAGAAGCAACGGAAATGTCTTTCAGTAGGTA